TTTTTAATATTAGATGACATTGTGACTGGGGATGTTCTGTGTTGGGCGAGTTGTTCACTATGCGACATGCGGGAGTTGCCGGATTACTGTGCATACTGTCTGGCACGCTGATCAACACAAGTGCCTTCGCTGGCACGAGATCAAGAACTGAAGTCAATTATATATTTCATTTAGTGAAACAGGCAGCTTGATTTACTCGAATATTTTGTGAGTCCACATGTCGACCAGATCTCACTTTCAGTGCCCATATCTATTTATAAACATTCGTATGAGAGTATCTATACATACACTTTGCAAATACACGCTATCGATTCTCATACCCAGTACCATATATCCACGAGGTGTTAAAGAGCGGCACTTGCACGTATTCTGCAAGCCTGCACGTTCACAAATTACTTCACGTTTACATATTTACTCCTATATTTATTTTTCTTCTATATACGGGGACGGGTGTATATGTACATATATCGTGCATGCCCATGTCATTCACTTTACCACCCCCACGTCCCTTCAATCTGCACGAAGCCAGAGTACGTTGAAACAGTCTACCTGTGCAAGTAAATGTGCTAGCCTACCCATCGGTGTGATCGTACTTCTTCCTTCTCTTTACATACAGGGTCATGTGTGGGAATGTACACATACATACACACACACACGCACCGTGCCTTAGCTAACATACCTGCCATTCCTCCTATCATCTGCTCGCCAAATGCTTCGTAGGTAGCCAAGCAACGACAGCTATACCTACCATCATACTCTGTGGGTCTACAGGACGATGAATGGCACATGAAACTCATGAGCAAGTGCATGGAAGACCGCAGCGAAATTGGCGCGCAAGAGGGCGATATCACGGCCTGTGTCGAGGCCTCGACTTTGCGGTCCGACTTTGGGCGCGCGATTATATACAATGCGAAGCGCACACAGGTAGGATGCTTGGGTGTGCACAGATCTGTATGCACGTGCACGCACAGGTATACGGATAGACATGTGTAGGTAGGTGTACACAGACACTAAGGCGTTGGGAAAGATGGGCACCCGTGTCAGCGAAAGCACCTCTCATGGGATGGCCTCAATGCCGCGCACGTATTAATATAGGACGGTTGTTCACGACGCTAAACACACATACGTTTTTGTTAAATGTGTTACTGTACTCCATGTATGGTCAAATTTGCCAAACGGGCGGTGAGAACTAAACAGGCCGAAGAATTGCCCAGGGATGGTGTCGATTTTTAATCCTCACCCTGATCTTATCCATCCATATATAGACTTGTTTTTATTAACGTAAATTCTATTTCTCGAAATATCGAACCCTTTCCCATGTACCATCAGACGCACCATTCAGGCGGCGAGAGCCAAATGGGCCGTAGAGCCTGCTGCTAAGGATGCCCTTGACTGTCTAACTCTCACTGTAATCAAATCCTCATCGTTGGCATATTCTATTTATGATAACAAATTATCCTAACATGTACACCTTGCTCTTATACGAAAAATTGCACCATTCAGGAGGTGAGGATCAAATTCCTCACATAATGGCATATTCTATTTATGATATCAAATTATCCAAATATAAAACCCTCACTTATATACGAACACGCACACCATCCAGGCGGTGAGAGCCAAATGGCCCGTAGAGTCTGCTGTCAAGGATGCCATTGACTGTCTAGTACTCCCTGAAGTCATATCCACATATATTGGCATATTCTATCTATAATATCAAATTATCCTAAAATGAATCTCTTACTCATGTACGAACAAACCCACCATCCAGGCGGTGAGGACCAAATGGGCCGTAGAGCCTGCTGCCAAGGATACCGTGGAAAATAGGCGGCACATTCAGCGAGCGTTCCAAAAGTTTGTTGCGCGGTTAGAAAGTTTGGGCCATTTCAAGATCTTTATGCTTGTGGACGATCAGAACAGACAGCAGAAGTGGGTTAAGCTACTAAGTCCGTACAAGGGCGAGGATATGGGAGGGGAGGGCGACAGGGCTAGGGAATTCGGCGCCTCTGGGGTGAGGATCTGTATAAGTTTACTTTATATATGAAGATATATAGATCAATCTGTATATTACTGCATATATGATTTATATAAATATATCAATATGTGTGAGGAGATGTATAAGAAAACTGTATATATGAGGATATATATAGATACATCTGTTACTGTATATATGAGGATTTATATAAATACATCAATATGTGTGAGAAGATGTACAAGTGTACTGTATATATGAGGATATATGGATATGTATGAAAACACTGTATATATGAGGATATGTATAAAAACACTGTCTCTATGAGGATAAATATAGATACATTTGTATATGCCTGTACATATATATATATATATAGATGAATAATGTGTCTGTATCCATGAGGATAGTTATATATATATATTTGTGTGTACGAGAATTTTTTTTGTATATCTGAATACGCGAGTTTATATATATGTCTATATATGACTGTATACGCGAGGGCATTTTAGTGTATATGTATATTTGTGCACTTTTCAATAGGAGGGTGTGGTGTGCTCATACAAGCACATATAACTGTCTGCATTGTTATGTTGTATTACCTACATGCACGAATACCTGTATAAGTTTTGCTACTAGTTTATCGTACCTATTAAAATCAATCGATCCGTCGGATCCGGGAATTGCGCGACAACACACGGCTACTATGGCCAGGCTTGTACCAATATTCACACACAAACACACAAACACGTATGTACATGCATCTGCATGACCATTTTACACAGACTATCATAGATCATATCATGTACACATACGCGTATATATACTCATGGGGCGTTCACTTTATGCAGGGTCTTGGCTCAAGCGAGCTGCGTGACGACATGTCCAGTCTACGCCTCATCTACCAATGGATTGACGAAGCCGGCCCCGCAGGCCTCCCGCAATCGCAGATCTCGATGCGAACCGGGATGTCCTTCAAATGGGTAGAGCGCTTGAAGTCGGTGCTGATACAGAACTATGGGGTGGGTGCAAAGTTTGCCCAGAATCTGCAGAATGTGCTGATTTCTCCGAGGTAGGCGAGGCTTTGGGGCAGCGAGGATAGGAACTGCATGTTGGTTGTTGTGGAGTGGTCATAGTAGGGTGTGTGTCGTGGAGATGTGCCGGGTGGCGAGTTTGTGCTGTAGTTAGTTGAAAGGATAGTATGTACATGTGCGCGCATACAATTTTTCTGTGTTCATTGTCGTAATACAGTAGTGCTTTCTGCGGACGCTTCCTTTAAAATACCAGTCATTGCGGGTACATGTCAACCCAGGTGTGCTTGGTGCATACAAAGTTGTCCAAACACGTTGCATGGGGTATCATTGCTAGAGTACGTGCCGTGTGCACACTCCGTTTCACTCAGTCCCCCAACACACCCTCCATGCCAACGCTTCTATAAATAGATTCGCCAACGAGGGCCAGAACCTCAAGAACATCGAGCGGCGCATGGTGCAGCGGTTGACCTACTCCGAGAACACCGCCTGGCTGGCTGTGGGGTCTACACTAACCACCAGCCCCAACCAATGCAAAGCGTGCAACGCAGACATCGTGGAGATAGACGACAAGTTCACCTGTGCCCAATGCAAGGACTTTTGTGTGTGTACGCGCTGCTTCATCAAGAATGACGACGTGCACACCGGAACTCTGGCCGTGGCCGGTGAACACCATGCACGCGACCACATCATGCTGAACACGCTGCCGATGGCCCGGAAGTTTGTTAAGATGCGCCTGGATATCAACATAGGCGGGCTACAGGGCGACTGTCTGGACTTCATCACCGAGAGACTGAAGGTACGGCCGCGTTGTTGTTCGAGTGGTGTGCGTATATGAATGCGTCAATGGAGATGTGACGGGAAGTGCCTGTGCCTGTGCGTTTGGGTCTTTGTACACTGTAGTTGTTTAGCGTTATTGCACGAAAATACGTATGTGTGTGAGAGGGAGCAGGTATGCCCCCTTTTTTTTGGGGTGAGCATATCGCGTGCTAATTGTGTGGGGGTATGTAAGAGGCGATACTACCTGTCGCTGCGCGTTTGGGTTATAGCATAGGCAATTTTACGCATGAATGGTTGGTACAATATTGTAGGTGCAAAGTCATAATTATCTGATAGTATAAAAGTATGCATGCATATCCCTACATGTAATTTAATATATATATATATATATATATATATATATGCGTGTATATATATGTATGTATCTATATATGCATGCATGTATGTACGTATGTATGTATGTGTGTATGTTTGTACGTATGTACGCATGCAAGTATGTATGTATGTATGTAGTATGTATGTATGTATACACACACACATATATATATATACTACATACTATTAATTATTATATATATATATATATATATATATATATAATATATATATATATATATATATATATATATATATA